TTTTCAGGTAAGTAGCTCCCCAAAAGGATTGATGTTGATTATTCTGCCTAATGAACCTGTCTGTTTAAACCCAACATTGTCAAGCCCAAACTCTGTCCCAAGTCTTCACCACTTACTGTTCAAGCCAAAACTAAAGGAAGGGGTTCTCTTTGACACAGGTCAACTCAACATTGACTTGGTCACTATGGCTGATAAATTTATGGCAAAGATGACTCTGAACTATATCCTGCTATGACTTTCCCTGATTCAGGATCTCATCATTTTTCACCTAGACAACCCCAATACCACCTCACTTGCCCCCATCCTCTCCTTACTTTTTTCCTTCTACTTTCGTTCAGTCAACAGGCCTGGGTCATTGGTAACCATACAGGAAATCCTGTGTCCATGTGGCACTGACATTCTTGCAAAGGTAGACAAATGTAATAACATACAAAGCCATAATGGAAGACCATTAAATAGGGCCTCGTTGGACATTGTGAAAACGTCCTTAATGCTGAAATAAATGAGAACCCTGGGAAGGTTATAAGCAACATGATCTGACTTAGTTTTAAAAGGATCATTCTTTACTTGGTGGAGGGGGGAGATACACTGAAGGAGATTTAGCTTAAATACAGAAAATTGAGGGCTGTCAGTATGTAGAGGGATGAGCTCACCAAGGAATGCATGAAGAAAAAGACTTAACATTAAATATGAGAGTGAGGGAGAACAGCGGTTAGGGGCAAAGGGAGGGCGGGAGAGAGGAAGGAAGGGAGGGAGAATGAGCTGGAGCCACCAACTTTGCCACATCTCTCTTGTGGGTGGTTTAAGGTCTTGTCTGTGTATACCAGAAGGCATAACCACTAGGATAAGAGAAGGAGCCCAGTGTGTTTCCAGCAGAAATGTCTTGAGGCCAAAAAAAAAAGGGAAATCCAGCCAGACTGCACTGTGGTCGGGTGCCCAGAAATGTTTACATCCATCTTTTGTAGGACAATCTTGGAAACTGCGTCTGGGCTGCTGAGAAACAGGAAACCTATGTGCTGGGACAGCTACTTCCCAGCCTTTTATCTGAGCGCGTCGTGGAGCACAGGCTTTCTGTTTGAAAATTAACCAGCAGCATGGGTAGACGTGGCAATTGTCATGATCCTTTAAAAATAACTTTACCACTCTTCTTAGATTATAAAAGTAATCTGGGATCGTTGTACTTGCCAAATTTAGAAATGTGTTAAAAGGAAAAGAAAAATGCCTGTAATGTTGCCTCTCAGAAAAAAAATCACAGTTAACATTTTGGCGTTCGTCATTGTTTTCCAAACCTTTTCTCTGTATATAGATACATCAACGTGATTGCTTAGGATTATATAAAATTCCAACACACCGCTCTATAGCTTCCTTAACTCAGTTGAGTAAAGCATTCTTGAAGCATCTCAAATAGACTAACTTTGTCTCACTAGAGGTAAAGATGTCAGATCTCTCTCTAGTACCAACTGAATAAACCCAGCACAAAGGCATTTCACATCAACAAATATCAGTCTACAGCAACATTGTGAAAGCAGATATTCCACTGTATGGATGTAC